GCAAGTAAGAGAAATGAGAGAAAAGCATTATTTCCTCTACTTCACAGATAGGGAAGATACTTAGACTTGCCAAAGGTCACAGTAGAAACAAGGAACACGTCCAGGACTCCTGTTCCTTCCCCTGCCTGAACTCAGAGACTTGCCTTTCTCTGCAGATCTTAACTGTAGAAAACCACATTTTAAAAGACATGTAATCCTAACACAATAGAGAAAGAAAGCTAAACACTCTGACAGATCATTACCTAATCTGTGTTTAAAAAAGTTCCAATGATGGATATTCATAACCTCTACAGGTAGTCTTTCAGCTGTCTTCAGAGGTGCAAAATTTGACATTAAACAACTTCCCCTTTCCCAGGTTCATAGGTCACATTTTCTAGACCAGTATCATTCTCACTGCTTTCTCCTGAACTTTCTGACTAGTCCAAAATAGAAATTTTACACATGCAACTCCAGCATGTTTTGCCAGAACTAAGTACAAAGACTGCTTCATAAAACTTAGATTTCACAGTAAGCCTGCCCTGTCCATCTTTACCTGATAACATACTGTACTTTGTTCTGTGACCCTTCTGACCTTGGACTGTTAGTGGGCTCCAGGTGTAGGAGCTCTTCACTGTGATGCATTTTTCTCTGAGGATTTTAGGAAAAAAACTACTGTCTGGCACTTCCTTCTGCTTCCCCCCACTTCAGAAAGATGTCCTCTAACAAGGGTATTACTCATAAGTGAGCTGATACTTTAAGTACAGTGTTAATGACTGAAGCTATGAATATAAATTTATTTCCATTGTGCATTTAAGAGCTTAGAACAAGCCATCAGTATGGAGAGGTCATATGTATTAGTAGAAACAAAACCCTGGGTGGGGTTCCTCTCTCTTCCCGCCCCTGAGTCATTTGGACTCATTTTCCGATTGATCCGAGTGAAATAGAGTTGCCTCATCCTAAAACAGGCACCTAAAATAGGTCTGCTGAATCACGGTCTTTAAGGGTCTTTAGTAACTCAAGATTTCCTTTACTCATTTAGACTTGACTCTCTCCTAACATCCTTTGGTACTCAGGGACCATGGTCCAGCCTGACACTCCAGTCTGTGCAGGGACTCAGTGTCGGCTCAAGATGTCCGAGCAGCTTTCAAAAACAAGTGTTACAACTACAGAGCAAGTAGCACAGGTGTCAAAAAAACTGTGGAGAAATGGAAGCTGAGCATTTATAAATCACCTCTCATTTTTGCAGTTTGAAAGGCTCTCAAAATTAGTTTCAATTCTCATCTCTTCCCCTCTCCCCCTCGCTATTTCCTTTCATGAGGTCTTTCATTCTAAAACTGATGACAGTTGGAACTGTCATAAGGTAAGGATGACTGCACTTTCCCTAATTCTTTGCCTAATCTCCACGAATTGTACATTCCTGTTAGCTGCTTTTATGTTTTTCGTTCCAGTAGCAATGGCTATCCCAGAATGCGGCAGACAGTCTAAAGCTGTTACAACAGTGATCAGGGCTACTGAAACGCCCAGCTCTGCATTCCATGCTCTCCTGGGGCAATCTGAGCAACACTTCCCAATGTTCAGCAGACACACACATCCAACAAAGAAACTCCCCCTCTCAAAGTTACTGCCTAGGAGGAGGAGGAGGGGGAGAGTCTGTTGTGGAAAAACAGGCACATAGAATCGCTGAATGGATTGGCTTGGGATGGACCTCAAAGCCCCCCCAGTGGCACCCCCTGCCCCGGGCAGGGCCCCCTTCCCCCAGCCCAGGGTGCTCCCAGCCCCATCCAACCTGGCCTTGAACCCTTCCAGGGAGGGGGCAGCCACAGCTGCTCTGGGCACCCTGGGCCAGCGCCTCCCCCCCTGCACAGGGAACAATTTCTGCCTTAGACCTCATCTAAATCTGCCCTCTTTCAGCTTAAAACCATTATCCCTCATCCTTATACCCACCCCCTGACCCAGAGTCCCCCCCCACCTCTCCTGTCCCCCCTTTAAGCCCTGGGAGGCCGCTCGAAGGTCCCCCCGGAGCCTTCTCTTCTCCAGGCTGAACCCCCCCAACTCTCTCAGCCCGGCCCCCCAGGGGAGCTGCTCCAGCCCCCCCAGCATCTCCGTGGCCTCCTCTGGCCCCGCTCGAGCAGCTCCGGGTCCTTCTGCTGTTGGGGGCCCCCGAGCTGGCCCCAGCACTGCAGGGGGGGCTCCCCAGAGCGGAGCAGAGGGGGGGAATCCCCTCCCTGGCCCTGCTGCCCCCCCTGTTCTGGCTGCAGCCCAAGGCACGGGTGGGTTCTGGGCTGCGAGCACATGGTGCTGCCTCACGGGCAGTTTTCCACCCGCTCATACCCTCAAGTCCCTCTCCCTGGGGCTGCTCTCCAGCCACTCCTCACCCAGCCTGGGTTTGTGCTTGGGATGTACTTGGTTCATTTGCTTCCCTGTGGCTATAGGAATTGTTTTCCTTTGGCTGCAAAATCCCAATCTGTGTTCTGCTCCTCTCCTTTCACTGCAGGACATCATTTTTATATTCATCTGTTCATCATCAGTGACTTGGGGCACTTTAAAAAAAATAAACGCAGTTAAAAGAACCATATGAAAAATCAATCTCACCTCCACAGCACATTTTACTCCAGGAATTTCATACTTAAGCCCCCATCTCCAGGTTAGCTGTGCTGCCTACTCCAATACTTTGTCCCAGCATGCAGATTGCATGGTCAGTGTGACTGTCTCTCCTTGTTATTTTCTTCATGCTCAGTTTGCCTGGCAGTCAAATCTCTTTTTATATCACAAGAATTACTTGTTAGCCTATAAACAGAAGCTTGTTAGCTGGCTTCCACTTTCTGATGATTTCTGCAGGAACTGGTAGATTTGCATGGAAAAAAAAAATATATATTTAAAACACCACTTGCCATCAGATTAAGTGCTCTTTCTTTCTGAGCAATACGGGAACGGCAGGGGATTACGGTAATGGCAAGGATATTGCCTGCTACATCAGCAAAGCAGTAAAGTTACTGCTGCTCCTTGCCAGTGTGGAGCTGAGCACTGCAACTGGGGAGGGATCCCTTGAGGGATGCTGGAGTCAAGCCCCTCACAAGCATTAGGATACAGGGAATCAGTGCAACTGGGATCCCTCAGAATAGTAGTGGGGAAATAAAGGGAGAAAAGCAATGGATTTTCAGGCACAGAGTCCCATCTCTGCATGAAGAGAGGAGCCTGCTGTGTTGTGCTGTGAATCTCCTTTCCAGATGCTCAGAGGAGCTGTGCTGCCTTCTAGAGACTAAAGAGGTGAGTGTGGATTGGGGCAGACACAGGAGTCTAGGGTATGCTCTTCCCCAAACCATCTCTCTCCACAGGTTGAGTACTATCTGGTTGGTTTTGAGCATGAATATATCAGTCAGTCATTTCTGCTGCGTCTCCTTGACTTACTGCAAAGTTTAGCTTCATGTGCTTAAAAATCAAGTTTGATAATTGCTTAATTTCCTAGTCCACCATCAACCCTATAATGACCACAGCTATAATGGTTAGAGATGCTCAATGCTACAGTCACATTTCATTGATGTGTTTACTACAATCTGTCTTTTTCTTTCCTGGAATTATTTTTCAACTTGTTCCCTCTCACAGGAAAGAAAATATAAGATCCAATTTTGTTTCACTGCACGGAAGGCAAATTCCCACAGTGCAATACCTTTTCATCTCCCCCTCCCCCACCCTCCTTGCTTGTGAACTGGGAATTTTGGGGGTTTGGAGTTTTAAATGCCTTTGCCTACAGGAAAATTTGGGTTTGAGATTCAGTTATATGATAGGTGTTCCTGCTCAGTGTTTGCATAAAGTGTGATCTGAGGGACTCATCTGAAAGATTAGGACAGTTAGAGTCCCACCTTATCTCAGATTTAACAGGAATAGTCTTAGTGGTGGTTTTTCATGTGTCTGATTAATATTTTGGATGGGAACACTATATCCACATCTAGATGCTGTGAAAGGCTTTTCAGCTCACACTTGTAGCTTTCCCCTTCGTGCCCCCCGTGTCTTCAGTTCCCAGGCTTATCCTCACTTTTCCATTTGATGTACCTTTTCTCCATATTTAGTCAGCTAAGGCTGAGCGTGGCTTCCAGATACTCCAAAACGTTGTGTCATTCAGTAGAAAAGTTGTTCCTTGCAACATCTTCTGCCTGGCAGGAATTACTTTTCCCTATAGATTTCTAAAATGGGCAGTTTAGCTGGCCTAACAAGCAGTCCACTGAGTAAAGGAGTCAATAAATTCTGGGCTTATAAATCTGCTTCACAGTTTGTAGTCCTGAATTGTGTCCCACAGGTTTCTCTCTCTCCTAGAACTGGTCTCTGCAGGTGAACTGATAATTAGGATTGTTTGCTATCCCTAAAGGAGAGCAGACTGCTGCTGAGAACGTGGTGAGAAAATTCAGGCAATAAAATCCACATTGGTCTCTTAGTTGTTGTTAAACAATACTGGGCTGAAAAAGGTTGGTTCAACTGGCTGGAGCCAGTCCGAAGAAGGCTCCCTAAAATAGCATCCCGCTCTATTCTTATATGGGAACCATAGCAGTAAGTGAACGTTGTTTCTGGGAATCATATTGTTTGTGTCTTTGTCTCCTTCAGGGCAGTGATGATCTGCAAAGAGCACAACAGCATGCATGGTTGACACAGCAAACTTCCCTCTCCGCTTCAGAGCAAGCCAGAAGGTGATGTAAATGAACTTTAAGTTGCAGTCCAGGACCTCAAGCGACAGCTGCTCCGCAGCAAGGAGAAGCTTTAATTGACACTTCAGACTCTCAAGATAGGTAGTGGCAGGTATCTCAAACGACACTGCTGAGCAGACACAGAAACAGCAGCCTCCAGCTTGTCAGGTTTCTAAGCCAGTTGTAAGACAGAATCAGGAATAACACAAGGTAACTAAAAGCATCAGTGACTTCCTCTTGAACTTTAAATTTGAGACCGTTTGGAATATTTATGTTTCTTAAATATTGAATCTTCCCCAAAATACAGGAATGATTTTAACCTGCAATTCCAATATTTCTCATCATGCAATCTTGGAAAGTAGGATAAATAGCCTCAGTTTTGTGTAGCTTCAATTCTGCACCCCAAGAAAAATGCAAAAGGAGTTAAATTTGACTTGGAAATGGTGGCTATTAACTGTACTATAAGGGAGAAAACTTAGGGAGAAAAGTAGATTTTCTAATATGTTCCTGGATCCTTCTCATTGTTCCTGGTGCTGCACTTCTAAGATGTTCTTAAAACCTCTTTTCTCCAGCAAAGCCAGGAAAATGTTGCCTGTAGGACCTTCCAAGAACTGATCTCATTTCTACCTGAAAAGCGAATGAAGTACAACAGCCTTGCATGAACGTTATCAGCCACTCACCATGGCTTTCCTCCCTGGAAACTCCTCTGACTGCTCCAACTGCACCCACTCCGTGGGGCCCGTGAACATTTCAAAGGCCATTTTACTAGGTGTTATTCTAGGGGGGCTGATAGTTTTTGGGGTTTTGGGTAATATTCTCGTTATCCTCTCTGTAGCCTGCCACAGACATCTTCAGAGTGTTACCCACTACTATATAATTAACCTGGCTGTAGCCGATCTCCTCTTGACTTCCACTGTCCTGCCCTTCTCAGCTACTATGGAGATTTTGGGCTACTGGACTTTTGGAAGAATCTTCTGCAACATCTGGGCAGCTGTAGATGTCCTTTGCTGCACTGCTTCCATTATGAGCCTCTGTATCATCTCGATAGACAGATACATCGGGGTGAGCTACCCTCTGAGATACCCAAGTATAGTGACAGAGAAGAGAGGCCTCCTGGCATTACTGTGTGTTTGGGCATTGTCTCTGGTGATATCGATTGGGCCTCTTTTTGGCTGGAAGGAACCAGCACCAGAAGATGAGACCATCTGTCAAATCACCGAGGAGCCTGGCTACGTGTTGTTCTCTGCTCTAGGCTCCTTCTACCTCCCCCTGACTATTATCTTGGTGATGTATTGCCGAGTGTATGTAGTGGCCAAAAGGGAAAACAAAGGTCTGACTTCTGGTCTGAAGACAGAGAGATCTCGTTCTGAAGAAGTGACCCTCCGGATCCATCGTAAAAATGCTCCCGAAGGGAGCAGATCAGCATCCAACCCCAAGAGCAAGCACCATTTCTCAGTGCGTCTCCTCAAGTTCTCTAGGGAAAAGAAAGCTGCCAAGACCCTGGGAATAGTGGTGGGATGCTTCGTTCTCTGCTGGCTTCCATTTTTTGTAGTAATGCCTCTTGGTAAGTAAAGCAAAACCCTCTACCTTATCCAGCACCCTCCCTGGAGTGAGGGCTGTGTTTGCGCCTGTGTACAAAAATGCTGATCAGAAAAGCTCTGAGGGAATAATTTCCTATTGCAAAGCTGTCAAAATCAAAACATTCACCACCACAAAGCAGTGAATGTGAAAAATGAAAGTCTCAAATGAAACAAAACACCTGTGGTGATGATCAGCTTAAAATTCTGAAAATAATTGAAAGCATTTAGTACTCTTTTTCCAAACAGAAAATATTCTTTCAGAGCTAGGACTTATTTCTGACCAACTCTGCTATAGGAACAATATATTTAGATGTGTGTGTGTTTATAGCTAAGTTTGCAGCCAGTTCTTCTGGTGATATAAATATGTAAAAGGTCAAGATATAAATGCATTCAAGGTCAAAGTAGCTGTTCACAGACTTGGGGCCAGATCTCCTGGAGTGCTCAGCACCTAATATTTCCCACTATAAGGAAAAAAAATCAGCTTCCCATCAGGAAATTCACACTATGGGATACCATACTCCAAATGAAATTAATGTATTTTTTAATTTATTGTATGACCAGTCAGAAGACAGAAGTGAGGACCCTTCAAACTTATTTTATACTTCTCTGGCTTGCAACTATTGTGGAAACCCACTGTGCCCATTGGCCAAACACTAGCTTCAACCATCATGCTGAATATGAATATTTATTCACCAGTTGTAATTCTAAAGCAGAGGAAAGACAGGGATTTGTTCTGCTTTGCTATCACTGAAATATAAAGAAGTAATTAGAATTTTAATTAAACCTTGCTCAGTCACCTTTGATGCGATTTCAGGACTTAAAAGCAGAATACTAATTTCATACCTATATCTGAGCAAAAATGTATGTGGCTCATCACATTGAAGTTTGCTCTGAAACAGTTGTACTAAGTATTATTTTTTGAAACATGGAACCTTAAATCTGTGACTTGCTCAATTTCAGTAACTTTTCTTATGGAAAGGGCTTATGCTGTTCAAGAAAAATAAGACAAGACTGTGGGGAAGTTTTAGCTAGTAACAGAACAATGTGTACAATTAAGAAAAAGAAAAAGCAGCCTTACCTAAACATGAAAAGAAAGATTTGGGGATTTCTTTGTCTTTTTTTTTTTTTTAACCTTATAAAAAGCTGTTCTTTTTCAATTAACCTTTACTGGATTTACCAAGATTACCAGGTTGCTTCAGAAAAACCTGTTGCTAATATTGCCATGTGAAAAACCCCAAAACACAGAATCTTCTTCTGGTCAATATTGGGAAATGCTGGAGTAAGAGATGTAGAGGAGGAGCCCTGAAAGGCCTGGCTCGTGCTGTCCAGGATGTCAGCATGTTGGAATGCTGGTTGCCAAGATGTCTGAAACATACCCAAAAAGGGTTTGCGAGAACACATTAAACACACTCCTTTTCATCTGCAAATGTGGTTGTCCACACAGAGCTGTTGTTAATTAATTTGCTTTGGATTTAAGAAGAGTTCTGGACGCGAGAGTGGCTTTGCATCTTTCTTTGATCCCTTATAAGGAAACTTCCTTGAGGTTAGTTTCCCTATCTTCGTGGGGTTACTATGTTATTTTTAAAGCATATAATAAGTCTTTCAAAACCTATTTACTATTTTTGTTTAAAGACAAAAAATTATTAAGCAGACAAGCGACATGAAATATCTTCAAAAAAAAACCCAAACCAAAACAAAAACAAAAACCCAAGGAAACATCTTGAGGCAGACTGTCCCATCCAGAGAATATTGCATATGGCACTCCACTCCCGTACCAAGCAGAACATATTCCAAAAGTGTTCCATTGTCCACTAACCATTGTCAGATCTGTTCTGCAGACAGGTGAGGGTAGGCAGAGGGAGGAGAAGTGATCCTGCCAGGATCACACAGCAGATTAGTGGCAGAGATAAAGCTTTCCAGCTACCCAGAGCACTGTTGCTAAAGAGTTCGCAGAACAGATGGCCAAGAATTTTGTTGTGCAGAAGACCAGGTCTGCAGCTTTCTGGCTATGGGACAGACCTATAAATGTTCCCATCAGTTGCAGCTGGTCATTTCTGTCATTTGCAGGAGTTGTAGCCTTTTAGAAACATGCCCTCAATGAAAGTTGCCCATTTTTAAACCATGCTGCACAAATCACTTCAGGCAGCTGGCAGGTGTTTGTCACTATGCAGCAGAAGCTCCCAAAACATAAGTTTATTTTACTGTAATCTACAGCACCTTCAAGATTCCCACATCTATTAACATTAACTCTACCAGCTGAGAACTGAGGTAAAACAGGAAACACCAGGCTTGTTAAAAGTGTATAATAACTGGAAGTAGAATGTTTTAGGATGTAGATAGGGGAAGGACAAGGGTGATAGAAGAATATCAAGAGGGGGATAGCGGCATGACATCTGTATTGGTAGATGCTGCTGAATATAACTGGAGAAACAGTTTGGTTTGAGTATACCTACCGTAAGACAATATCTTAATTGAAATCAGCATGTGAAATTGCCAGTTGCAATCTATGTAAATGAAGTCTTTCTTACCTTCTTAGATGGATGGAATTTCATTCCAGACAAAGGGTCTGCACAAAGGCTTTCAGTCCAATAGCCCGATACACTTTCTTCTCACTTGACTGATGTTTGCGGAGTAAGCCAGGGAATGATAATCCTGTTGCATGAAGATAACTGAGGTTAAGATTTATTTTTCACTGGCTGACGGAGTTCAAACCCACCTTTCATAAAACTTCTGTAAAATAAAATTGTGTCAAAACAGCTGATTTCCCCAGGAAGAAGTCAGGTTTTCTTTTCTGAATGCACTTGTTCTCCCTCTTTAGAGCTGACCGGTGAATCCACTCTTAGTCTCAGAGCTTTCCTGTAAAAGCTTCTTTGAACTCAGCAGGTCTTCACAAATTATGTAGAAAAACCTTCCAAGTCATGGCTCAAGTATGTCCCACATAGATCTGCAGTCTTTGTAGTCCCCTAATTAAATCTCAGTTCCTCTCTAGATGCATAGCTTTCCTAGAGCAATGAGAGGGCCTTTTTCATGATAGTTTAGGTAAGGCTTATTCGACTGAAATGTGGGGTAAGAGGTAGCAATAGGCACCTAAACAGCAGTTTAAACAGTCAGCAAGAACTGTGAGGTCCTTTGCCTATGCCCATTATCCTCTGTATATGACATGCATTCTTACTGAGCTCAAGTTCTGTCTCTGGTCCACAGCAGTGGGAGAGTCTGATGGTGTAAAGTGCTTTTTATTCTGCAGACCTTCCTTTGAATTACTGTTACCCGAGAAAGCCTGTAGACCTATTGTTGAATTTGCTTTATTGGGGGAATTCTGCAAAGACTCTTCCTTTAAATATCATTGCCTAAGAGCAATCACATCCAATACTTTAGCCCTAGTATTAGGATGTAAAGAAAGACTAATGTCCATGTACATCCACAGCACTCTGCAATTGCTTCCCAAGCAGGAGATCTGCAGATCTGCCCACCGCACTGTCCTCATTCTACACCACCTTTCTATAAGGATGAGCTTACAAAGGATATATTCAACAGAAGAAAATGTTAATCTTCTGAATAGATTACTTGCCTGTTTAGGAGCTCTAAATACTTTCACTGGCTGCCACTTATTTAGCACAGGCTGATTTCTATGCCAAGCAGACTACGAGAGCATCCTACCCCATCCAGGTAGTTTATTATTTGCCCTTCAGAGAAGGTAGCTGGAAAAGGATGTTTCCCAGTCCACTATAGAGATATTGCTCTCACATATCATCTTCTCCACATGTTGCATCATTTTTTTATTCTCTTACTTCTCTTCTGAAGCTCTTAATCACCATATTTGCAACTGCTAGCCACTTATGAGTGACTTGCACTTCCCCATTTAATATCCTCTCATGTTAATTTACATGGCGAGAACAGCTTTAAAAGCTTTTTAGTGCTGATCTTCACACTTTGGTTGTCCTGTGCTTGACTCCTTTCTCAAAACAACTGCTCTAAAGCACTCCACTCAAATAGTGAGGAGGAGTGCAAGCCAGGTGTCATGAACAGCGGATTATGCCCCACTCCTTCACGTGAATGAGAACACACTGCTTTACTGAAGGGAAGATCTGTGATCTAGCTAGGAGGACTAGCAAGTGATAGAGCTATGTTTTTGTTTTCTACATTAGTGAAAAATCTTATCACCAAGTTTATTTTTTTCAAGCGAGCTATAAAGTGAAACCCTGCCTCTCTTCTCAAAGTTCTTTAAGATCTTCTTTGATATGTTGTTGAAGTTCTTTAAGATCTTGGGGGAAGGGGGAAACATCCTAAAGTAAGCAATATTGCTTTTCAAATTGGAGCAACTATATTCTCTTAGGTAGGGACTACTTGAAGTTGAACTGGAAGCCTGAGAATAGGCTCCTAGAAGAACTTGAATGTCAGGGAGCAGCAACAGCAAGGCTGTTCCAGGATGAAGGACAACCCAGGAGCAGAGGGTGACAACACAGGCAAGAGCCATGCCCTCCCCAAAAGCATGTCCTCACCATGTCTGAGCAGAAGCAGGCAGAGGTGGCATCTAGGACAGGTTCATCTGACAGTCCAGTGATCGCCAGACAAATGCAAAACAACAAAACAGATCCAGGAAACAACAAGCCTGAGCTTGTCTACATCACTCAAAGAGGGTTAAGGAGAAGAACCTGAGTTTACATGCAGCTCCTAAGGCAATGGCAGAGGGCTTGTGGATAGAGGCCACAGATGGGGCTCATCTAGGCAATTAAGGGTTGTTGGGCCCTGGCCCTCTGCAATAACAGCCTGTCACACAGCATGTTTCTTCCATTTCTGTTTTTTGTTTTCCTCTTGTGATTGCTAGAAAAGGATATAGACAGGTATAAATACTAAGAGCTAAGAATCCTGAAATTCAGTGTGTGCCTGTAGTGATGTAACCTCACCCTCAGCATCACCTTGGAAAGTGGTGCCAACTGAGAGAGCAGACCTTTTCCTGTAGCTGGAAGACACTTATGGTTGCTCT